TATTATATTATTTATTATTATATTAATAAGAAAGACTTTAGAATTTTTGAATAAAACTTAAATTTTTTAATAACTTATTTTCTAATATTAATTAATATTTTTAAAATATAAATTAAATCAAATAGTTAAAAATAATATTTTACTCTAAAATTATTTTATTAAAAAATAATTAGATTTAAATTTAGTTTTAAACTAATTTATTAAGAGATAGATTAGTTTGAAACTAGTTTATTAAGCTAAATAGATTAATTTAAAAATATAGAAACTAATCTACTAAGAGATAGATTAATTTAAAATTAGTTTATTAAATTAAATAGATTAGTTTAGAAATCTAGAAACTAATTTACCAAGAGATAGGTTAGTTTAAAACCAGTCTACTAAGCCTAATAGATTAGTCTGAAACTGATCCGCCCCAATCCAACACTAGTCTTATTTTGAGGTCTAGCAACAAGTATGCTTTGTTATCACATCAAGTAATTATCAATAATTTAAGACTAGTAAGTGCATTATTATGGTTTAATCAAGTCTATTATATTTTTGACTATAAAAATCCTTTGAAGTAAATATCATATAATAGTAAAAAAAAATCCTCAAACAGCTAAATTAATATTGATAACGAGTAGAAAAACAAATAATACATGTGGAAAGTCTGACTAAAATACACAGGAAGAGATAATTGAGAAGCTTGACGAACAGAAAGCGCACAGGAAGGACAGACACCACAACTCGAGAGGGAATCTGAAAGTCGCATCAGTTCAGAAAGCTCTTCAACAACCTCCGCCTACACCATGATAGATTCTAACCTCGTTACAAGGCTATAGCTAAGACAAGGCCTCCTGATTCTTAATCACATCCAGTCTGCGGTAGAGCTCCATTTCAAACCTCTCTTTGCCATAGGGTTCCTTGCGTAATGTTTCCATTAAGTCTGAACCAGGAGGAAAATCTGTCTCAAAAACTGGCTCCCCCGCACCTCGCATATTACCGAGTACGGCTTGCCGGAAGTGCCATCGTAGCACCTCATCGGCTACATGATCAGGATTATTCGGATCACGACAGACAAAGTCAAGGATTTTGCCATCTATGTTCGTGAAATCTGGTTGAAATGAGATAATCTTGTACCCATCCTTCTTGATGTTAGTATCTCTAGAGCGAACCTGGATATATGATTACTTGCATCGGGATTGATAGAAAATAGATACTGGTCGAAGAGTGAGTGAATGTGAGCGAACATCAGGAGCCCATTCTGAACAGAGTTCATGGTGGAGCTTCCATCAGTATTTGGCATGTTTGTGATCCAATGTGCAAAGCCATTTGCGCTCCAAATATTCCCATACTGAAGTGGGAATACATGTGCTGCTTGGTAGGCAGCCCATATGCCAGCCCCGGACAATGGGTTGGGCACTCCAGATATGACACATTTGCCGTCTCTTGCTCGGACACCGCGGGTGAAAGAACTTTCTCGACCAGAGATAGGATGACTGGCCAATCGCGGAATCCATAGTTCATCAGTTACACTTATTGATCCTAGAATGAGTATATTAGCTACGATACTAATTTCTGATGACTGAGGACTTACCACTACTGTGAATATCATAGTTACCATGACTTGCTGGATTGTCTGATGGCCCGACAATCCGACCAGAATCCCGGTGTATGAGAGTCCAGGGTTCCTCGACAATAAGAAGAACATTTCCAAGCATCCAAAGTATATTTTTTTCAGTCAGAGAGCCTGCCTGATAGAGGCCTCCCACCTGTTTTTTGGTTCTCCCGTCATAGAAATGTATGTTGCGATAGACCGATCGTTCTCTAGTCATTGCAAGTCACAATCGAAGTTCAGGTCCGAGGCAAGGTCAGGTTTTAAAATTGTAGACAACGATCAAGAAGATGCTGTGGACGAACTAAGCAGCCACCTGTGGATGAGGGACCCTCGAAAAAAAAAAAAGACATGGATGATCGAAGCGGGGAGACGATGACGATGACAATTATTGAGGATACAAGGAGACTACAAATCCCCGGATGGTTGGCAAAACCACACCGCCAGGTTTCACACTGCAATAGAAAGGCGGTCGCAACAGGCGGTCAGGAGGCAGGCTACCCATTATCCTTTCTCCCACAGATAGTGCAGTGGTGTATTTTTAACTTCGCTCAGCAGTTGGTGCTGTTGGAATTACCTCCTAATTGCTACTAGCTCGAACTACCTATTCACACAAGTGACAACTATTTCTGAGCAATTAATTGATTATATCGCACACATTCAAATATATAAACATGTCTTTTTCCAACCTGGTCTCTGATTTGGCTTTTAAGGATGTCCGGGATGATCAGAGCTCCCGGGTTTCCCACGTACAATCGCTAGCCACTGCTCGGTCGCATACAAGTACAGCTGCAACCAGTGTTAGTATATCCGGTGACATCTCGAGTCAACTTCATGCTGGATATAGTCATCCACTGAGCAGGTCATGGCAAGCGGAGCGGCAACTGACAAAGGTATCTATCCCACATATGGGCTCGGTTACATGTGTATTATCTGTGTCTACTTGTGCATCTAACTCGTGTATAGGAAATGCTTATCTATCCTCTATTTATCACTGATAATCCCGAAGAAGAGACACCGATACCTTCTCTCCCAAATCAATACCGCCGGGGTGTAAACCGCATAGTACCCTTTCTGAAGCCTCTTATCCACAAGGGGTTGCGGTCCGTGATCCTCTTTGGAGTACCCCTCGATCCTTCGGCGAAAGATGCGCTGGGGACTGCTGCGGATGATCCATCCGGACCAGTCATACAGACGATTCGGCTCCTTAGGTCGCGGTTCCCTCAGCTTTATATTGTCACCGACGTTTGTCTCTGCGAGTACACGTCACACGGTCATTGTGGAATCTTGAGGGACGACGGGACACTTGACAATGCCCAATCTGTTGACCGGATCTCCGACGTGTCACTGGCTTATGCTGCTGCTGGGGCGCATTGTGTTGCTCCCTCTGACATGAATGATGGCAGAGTCCGCGCCATAAAACTGAAGCTGATCGAGGCTGGAATGGCACACCGGGTCCTTCTGATGTCCTACAGCGCTAAATTTAGTGGCTGTTTGTACGGGCCTTTCCGTGATGCCGCCGGTTCGTGTCCCTCGTTCGGAGATCGCAGATGCTATCAGCTACCCCCCGGGGGCCGAGGACTGGCTAGACGCGCGATACAGCGAGATATCGCCGAGGGTGCTGATATAATCATGGTGAAACCTGCGAGCAGTTACTTGGATATCATCAGAGACGCAAAAGATCTCGCCACAGATCTTCCAGTCGCAGCCTACCAAGTCAGCGGGGAATACGCAATGATACACGCTGCTGCGAAAGCTGGCGTCTTTGATCTCAAAACAATGGCCTTTGAGAGCACAGAAGGGATTCTAAGAGCTGGTGCCGGGATTGTGGTGACCTATTTTGTGCCGGAGTTTCTTGACTGGCTCTCATAGTCATCTGTCTACATCGCGATAGCTTCCACACAACAAGCGGATTTTGTGCCAACTCATCCCACGTAAGGTATCGTTAGAATGTACCTTTGCATTTGTTGCCCCTTATCACTTTGTAGCCCGAGCAATTATGATTTGGAGCTGCCGTTTGGCATGTTATCACGGTTTCCAAACCATCCAACCTTGTCCCGCACCCTTTGGAAGCTCCATTCCGTGATAAGAGACTCGAAAATCTATCTAGACATTTTTTGTATTTGACGTTTTCGACACCCTTAATGTCTATTCTGGTCTTGATGTGGGAGACAGGATGAGGTGTAGAATTGGAACAATAATCTACATAAAAAGAGAGATAGGACCCTGAATTCCATATAGAAAGCACACCGTATCCCAGGTTGTCCGACGAAGAAACAAACTAGAGCCCATGGGGCAGACGATAACGATAGTAGGAAAAATGATATTTGCAAAAGTCAATCGTGAGATACATAAACAAGAGCAAGTTCTCTCACATATAACTCGGTTTGAGACCTTGGAAACCATATGCCACAATGTCGGATTTCACCACCTCTCCTGGGGCCACATAGGCGCCCCGCCGAAGACGAACACCGGGGTAGATTGTACAGCCGGCACCGACATAGCAATCTTCTTCTATTGCGACCGTGCGACCCTGATAGCGACTTTGAGAGCCTTTCCGTTCCTGCATGTTGGCATGGGCCATTGAGGTGAGTATGGTAACCCTAGGGCCAATCCACGTATGGGCACCGATGTTTATAGGGCAGTCATCGACAAAGAGACACTCCTCAGATATCATAGTATCCTCTCCGATATGGATATTGTACCCATAATGGCAACGGAAAGGGGCCTCAACAATGGCGCCTTGTCCAATGGATCCCGTGGAACGAGGGGTGACGCCTGAAGGTGAATTGACACCCCCATTCAAAAGCCCCAGTACTTCTCTTAACAAACGACCCTGTTCCTTGATACTGAGACCGGAGATGGGGTTGCAAGAGTTGTTGAAGCGCCATAAAGCTGCCTTGCAACGCTGCCTTTCTTCCACAAGGTGAATGTCAAAGGGTCTATATAGTTCACCCAGAGTCATCTTATCCTTTTCCGTTTCTTCGTTCGAAGACGTGCGTGTAGATAGCTGATGCTCAATGCTAAGAGCCATCCGCGCCTGGGCTTGGGGGCTACTGGTGTCCACAGCACCTGTATGAGCTGGCCGCTGATCGATACCTGGTTGGAAGAGTGGTACGCTTGGTTTTCCATGCGGTCCGTGAGAAAATTCTCGTATCGGGGGTACTATCTGGTAATCTGTTTTGGGATGCCCGTCTCGAGATAGTTCATGTATCGGCGGCACTTCCCTAAGCTCCGACTTTGCCAGATGATCCGATGGATAGCTAGAATGGGCTGTATTCGGCCAAGATCGCTTCGACCATGACCCGCAATTGGAACCAGCTCCCGTGGGACTTGAGTTGAACTGTGCACTTCCGGCACGTTCATTTTCATCTATAACGATTGGCTTCATTTTGGCCGTTTCAAGCTCGGCGAGAATTTGCTGGCGTTCATGTCCCGAACCTACATCATGTACATATTGACCAGTGATATCAGTGTAGCCTTCTTTTGATTGCAGAGGAACTGGAGCTTTTGCACTCGACGGCTTTTGCCACGTGCTTCGCGACGAGTAGCCTTCGCACAAAAAGCCCCCCCTAATACAGTTGTTGCCTGGTGTAAATTTGTCAGTCAACGAATAAGGTGTACATAGCCATCCGCTTGCGTTGGGGTGTTGATCAGCTGGTACGTTGGGATTTACTCACATGCGGGATGTTGCTCGTCGCATTTTTTTTTTCTTTTGCGGCAGGTCATGCATCCAGTTTTCGTTCTGTTGCTAAAAACACGCTTTCTCTTTGGGGCGACTTGAACGGTGCCAGGCGCCCGCTCTTGATGGAAGGCAGCCAACGGCGGTGACTGTTCACTCTCCGCGGACCCATCGACCGGGCGATCCATCGTTCCCCAGCTCTTTTGAGTTGCCTCATGACCTTGGGCCTCGCGCTGGAGTGCTTCTGCCAACTGGGCGTCAGAAGGATCTATTTGTTGCGCACGTTGCGCTTGGCTAATCAGTTGAGTGTCGTAATCCTGCCAAGGAGAATTTGCGTGTGCAGCTCGGGAGTCCTCACCCTCGTCCGGTCGTGTATGCAATGACGGAGAGGGATGTATCGCGTGCTTTACTTCATGATCATTGTGGGCTAAAGTAGGACCATTTGAACTGGGCGGCTGTGTGAGAGTATCCGGAGCATCCTCCGCTTGAGATGATGTGGTCTTGGCGCCTTTATTAAACAAGCGTGTTTCTGTATCAACTGACTCCGACCTTTTTCGCTTGCTTCTGTTTGTGACCATAGACCCATATTGCGACGGCGATCGGCGCGACTCATGATCTTCATAATCATTTCTGGCGGCCCCGTTTTCCAACATTTGTTCCTCCGACCGCGATGGGGTGTCATGTCTACTTCTCCCCGAGCTTTCTGATGAGTTTCGATGTTCTTCACTGTTCGGGGCAGGAGTGGCGGTAGCTGGTGGTACCGGAACGAGCGAATCTCTCCCGTTAACTGCCGTGAACCGGGAGGGACTATGCTCTGTCCTGATTTCCCTTTCAGGCTCGTGATCGTTCATTGTGGAGGAGAGATCGGGGAGGCCAACGATTGAATAATGATCCAACGAAATTTGGATAGCCCCAGCGAACGGAAACTCGGGATAGATTAGTTTGTCGATTTCGAGTCCACTGTCCCCAGAGCTGTTGTGCTATGGCGCTAGACAAGTGACCTTTCAGGGCAACGTTTGCAACCAATCGCCACAGGCTAGTTCCATTGAAAATATCAAGGCAAAGATAAGTTAGTTGACCCAGTACAATGTCCCTGAGGCAAAGACTAGAAAGAATGATTCGATTGCCGACACAGGGTGGGGGTTAGATGCCACTCGAGCCCATGGGCGTGATTATGAGAATAGCGTGGGCCTCACGGGCCAGGACAATTGAACCCAACGACCTTACTCCCCGATTGTAAGGCGACTTCAATTTATCCCACTAAGCGGCGTCGGTCATGTGTTTTGCCGTATGAACGAGGAAAGAGTGCAGATGATTTCAGGGGGGATGGTTGAAGAGTAAGACCTCTCCAGATTTTCGAGGAAGATGGACTCGGAAGCATCCGATGTACAACCTGGGGTCAAATTATTAGGACGGTACACGTAAATTGAAAGTCGGCAGGCATCTATAATTGAGCCACAAGTAGAATCCCACTTGACCAATGGTGGGTAGCGCTCAGAAATAAATGGGAAAGATTTATCAGTTCCAGCAATAGTTAACTATGCTGGAGGATGGCAGCTCCGGGGCCGAACCATGGGGTAACCATGGAACAGATTAGGAAGAAAATCCCGGGTGGTTTAAAAGAAAGACCACAGGAAAACCCCAGCGGTGAATCCTGCAAATGATAGATATCAACAGTACTCAAGGAGTGCGCGGGGGAGCAAGTAACTGCAGTGGAGATTGCAAAGTAATCCACTCTGTATAGAGTGTGTTGGAGAGGAGAAAGCTAGAAGTAACAAGAAGCATGCCAGTAAGGGACATTAATATGGCGTCTTCGCCCGCCTGGGACAAGAAAGCACGAAAATAGGCTCAAGAGCAACCTAATTGTAATTACCTTGCAAAAGGACCGACCCCTCAGTCCTTCAAAATTCCAACAAAACACTAATCCAAAACCAGGAAAACAAAAGTGCCTGGAACGCTCAATTATATCGTTATTATTATTTATTATTATTCTTCTCATCATCATCATCATTATTAATTTGTCAGTTTTTCCTCCTTTCTTTTTTTCTTTTTTTTGTTTTGTGTTTTTCTTCTTCTTCTTCTTTTTTGTCTCTTTCTTTTTCTTTTTCATTTTCATTTTTTTGCTTTCATTTTTTTTTTAATGAGAGATAATGAAAAAAAGAGGGGGGGAGGAAAGGGGATGTGCTAAACAGAGAAAAGTAGAGCGGGGAAGAGGAAAAGGATGTGGGTGGAACAGGCAGGTACAACTGAGGTTTTGACCAGGGGGGTTAAGACTCCAGAAGAGATGATAACTTTCTTGATAGGTCCTTGAACATCGGTTGGCACGACGCGGCTGCCAGCTGGCTGAATTGGCGCGCGATCGGCCATCGCCGCGTTGACACGGCTTGGTGACTGGTTGGTCCCTCTATCTAGCGTCTCCGAGACATGGAGACTTGCTGGCACTAGCATAACATCAAGCTGGAGGTGTGGCGCGCTCAGGCGACACGCCACTCTTGGAAAGGAGGGTCAGCACTCAGCAGAGTGACGCCCTTGGTTCAGGTCTTTCTCACAGCTGTTTGCTCCACCCGTGAGGGAAGCGCGACGCTGTAGGAGATGATTGGTGAGTTGGACACGGCTTGATTCTGAGGTGGACCTGTGACAACCACCTGCCGAGTTGGACCGATACATTATTTGCTATTGGCGCTAGATTGGACGCCCAGGCGCGGTTGCGAATGGTTGGTGGTAAATAATAACCTGTAACCCTGGTACGGGCGGACCTGCTGGGATCGTGCACCCGTATTGTTATACGTTATAGGGAGCCTAAGTCGTGGTAAGGAAAATTATGTTGATTTGGGACTTTTTGCAGATTAGCAGAAGGTATAATGGATCGACCCGAGGCACACTCGTGGTCAGTCAGGACAGAGGTACGGAGTACCTTGCGTGTTTGTTTTTACACCTCTAGTCACCATCTGGTGCTCTTAGTGAGTATTCGCCCTGCTAATATTGTAACATTATATATTAACCCCACACAGACGTGTTCATGCCACAGCTTATGATTTCCTGATGCTGTCTGCCAAGGGACATAATACCACTATTTCTCATTGGACCCTTGGGTTTGACAATAGTTAATCACCTAGTGGGTTGTATAACCGCCATTGTTACCCAACTTGAATTTGGGATGCTAATTTCCATGCTCCCAATATCAAAGGAATCCAGCTTTCCAATTAAATTCAGTATATGCCTACTTACAAGGTAGCATGTAATTAATTGTTGTGCTAACATATCAGGCGTCTGCCTGGTGCTACGGGATATTCATCTCTCGAGTCCACCATGCATCTCATGGGTTTGTGTCGGTTTGGAGCATCAGGCCGTGCTAGACAGGGAAATCCTGTTGATTATCCCAGGATTGAAAGTAGATCGTTTTATCCCGGTATTCATCCATATGAATAACATGGATTCGAAGCAAAAAAGATGAGTTGATCCACACAAAGAGTCTCCTGGCATGGCCATAAGATTAGTACATAGCAATAC